CATCTTTTTTCCTCTTCTAGATGGCTCCTAGCTATGCTGGTCTCTACACTGTGTAGCATTGTCATCTGGTGGATGGTTTGTGCCTACCCTTCTCCCATCCTGCTAATCTGTCTAGATGGGTTAGGAAACTAGTAACCTTCAGGACCCGGGCAGGTAGCGCTGTAAGTGTGCCACTTCCATTTCTTTTTCAAACACTACTCACTCGGCTGTGCATTGCACTTTCCAAATCTCTGTCAGTGCATGCTTTACTAATAACTTCTACTGGCTATTTCTTAAAATCAAAAGGGAGGGGTACACCACAAATGATTTTCTTTAATTTGTGATGCTTTTAAAGACCTATTGTTTATTGTATAATCAGTGTTTAAAATGGCTTTTTAATCAAGCTTCTCTCACGGAAAATAACTTTTTTCATGATGGGGATTGAGTGAAGATGCAACTAACATTAAAATTTTGCATTGAATTTCGGAATGTGCATGTTTTTTTCTGTTTCCATTCCCCATCCTAACCTGGTCATCCTGCATCCCACAAACTGTGTAGATATACAATGCTTTTACATTTAATGTTACCCATCGCTGCTTTTTTCCGTCATAACGGTTGTTCCCTTGTAACTTGGGCTTTTTTCGTTAAATTGTGCTTAGCTGCATGACAAAGCTGGGGAGGGGGTAGTAATTCCACATGACTTCAGATCCAGCATTGATTTTTTTTAATGTAACAAATGCAACTCGATCAATTGGCTGCTGAAACACAGACAGGTCTCAGCGTAAAGTTAAGCATGAGGCCAGCTAAAGCTTTTAAAAATAGCTTTGGAACTGAGTGTTAGCATGCATGACTGTTTCTAAGCCTGTTACTTAATAACTTGTGCTGGGCAGACCCAATTCACAGAGCGCACTTCTTGTTTGTCTGTAATACTCCTATTCTTTTTTAGGTATCTGTGTTTGGATGTGGCACCCTTACTGAGTACACCATATGTATCCGGATTTGATTTTAAATGAAGCCGGTTGTTTGTGTGTTTCTGTTTTGCTGCTGATTTTATGAGGGTTGTTCGTGTTTCTGTTTGTGAGGAAGCAGTGGTATTTGGGGAAAGTGAATGTAAATTAGGTTAAAGTTAGGAGGCATAAGCCATGTGATTGAAGATTGTGTGGGCAAAACCGAGAAAGGAAGCATATGCCATAATAACATGAAATTACTTTCTGTGTTTCTTACCCTACAGTGTTCTGACCTGGATGGCCATTGCAGTATACAGATATATACCCTACCTTAATCATTTAAAAATATATACAGCAATGTCTTGGTTTCTTAATCAAACCCACTTCTGGTTAGCAACTCCCACTTGCATCCCAGTGTAAAATGCCTCCTTCCTCACGGATGGCATATTGCTTCCCCAAATGTTTATTGGAACTGGTTTCAAATGTAGCCCAGAGAGCTGGGAGGAAATTCTCTTCTGTCTGTTGACTGTGAGGGACCCGTGTGAAATTCCCCCTGGCTGTCTCAACCCAGTTCTAATTCGAACATGGGCTCGCAGCATAAAACTGCTCTAAAATTGGTAATATTTAACTTGGGAGCCCTTGTTTTTGCTGGTGTGGGGAGTGTACAGCATGGAGGTTTTTCTTAGGCTGGAGTAGAGGCAGCTTTACTTTATATCTAATTCTGCTAAACTGAGCTAGGAACACTTATTGCCCAAAATGGGAATGTGCTCCATTTCCCAGCATCAGTGTCCTTTATATTAATGAGCACAACCTTTACCGTTTTCCTAATAATAATATTCCTTGTGTTTGTTATAGCGCCTTTCATATCAGGAGGACAGCCTGTAGCCCTTCACATGATGTATTGTAAAGTGCAGTGACTGTTTTGTGGGTGAATGCATCGGCTAATTTTGCATACAGCAATGTCTAACAAACATCCATGTAGTGATTGACCAGTTTTCTTAAGAAAAGATTAATTTAAAAAAATCCTATTGGGATAATGTTCAAGGCTATAGTTTATGCTTCACTCTACACAGGCATTGCCTAAGAATGTGCTACAAGAGTGTAATGTGCTCAAGGATTACTTCGTAATACAAAGTAATCCTTGAGCACATTACACTTTTGCAGCACATTCTTAGGCAATGCCTGTGTACAATTATGATGGTGAATGTTGCCGCAGTCTGTGTAGTGTGATTTCAATGTACAACTTGGTTCTTGCACAGTCATACTCTCCAGTGGATTTTCTCTCCATCATTCCAGTTCCATTGCTGGTTGCCAGAAACAGAATTTGATCTTCCTCCTTTTTCCCATGAGACAAATGCTGAAAATGGTAAACTAGTCAAACTTCTGCAAAGAACCTTGTAGTGCTACAGTGTGATGCAGACCTTCAGATCAGTTGCCACTTGGGATACAATTCCATTCTGCTACCCTGCACGCTGCTTCAGTATTCTGTATATATCCTTTCCATAATGATAAGAAAAACATTGTTATCCTTAAATGACGAATGTGGGAGGGAGTCGAATGCTTTCACTTGCTATTTGTTTTTGACTTAAGGCCCTAAAGTAATTTAGCTTCACTCTCTTGGTTGACAGGGTACCTTATACAAGCATTCAGGTTTTTCTTCCACCCTACTCTAATTATCTCCCCCCTTTTCCTAATGGCCTGGCTTCATGCTTCCCTGCACGCTGTTCAATATTCAGTATAGTTGATCAGGCACCTGCTGCTTCCAGTGTTCACTCAATTAACTATTCTAGATGTGTGAGTCTGAACATTAAGCGGCAGCAGACGATTCACCTGTTGAGGGCATTTCAGCCAAGGCTGATTCATTTGTCACCTGCGGGCGCTGTGTGTGTGTGTGTATTGCTCACTGTCCTGAAGGGGGAAACAAGAGAGCTATCGGTTGTGCCTGATGTTTTCACCACCGGAGTTCAAGGACACTGAGTCTTATATGCATATTGAGGCACATGTGCATTGTGCATACTGTGACTGACAGTGGAGCCCAAGACACAGTTGGAATGTCAGAGGTATTGCAAGTGTCAAACTGCTGGTAACTGTTTGTGCTTCACACTGACCCACAGCAACTCTGCTCCCACTGGAGGTAGATGATAACAAATTATATTTGTATAGCGCCTTTCACACTGGGAGGACGTCCCTAGGCGCTGGGCAGTCAGGGGGTGGGATCAGGGAGAGTGGAGGACAGGGAGGGTAAGGGTAAGAGGGTGACCAAAGGCTCAGTGAAAGAGGAGGGTCTTGAGATGGCCCTTGAAGGAGGCAAGGGAGGGAGCAATGCAAAGGGACTGTGGGATGGAGTTCCAAAGGGTGGGGTCAGAAAGGCTGAGGCTCAACTGCCAATGGTGGGGTGAGGGACATGGAGCAGGCCAGATGGAGCCCACTGAGCAGAGGGAGCGGACAGGACTATATGAAGCTAGCAGGCCACAGAGGTAGGGAAGAGATCACATTAACAGGGAGTTCCTGCCAGTTGGCCCCACACAATCCAATATTTGGAAACTGTCTGTAACCCCAGTTGTAAATGCTGTGTTTCTGATCAGACTATGTTTAAGCTAAACGGGAGCTTTATTGAGTGAATCTTGATGTAATGTTTCACACCACCATTTGTCCTTGCCTTGCCAGTTTTGCTGAGATTATTTTGTTTTCAGAAATTATATTTGTGTAATGATAAGGGAGTGTACCTCTTGCAATGTTTTTGTCTCAGTGAATTCTTAAACTATTTACTATTATTAGGCATAGTGGCTGCTTTAATCTGATTACCAGTTACTAACACTAGATGGAATGGCTACTTAAACCTCATACTGCTGTAGTGACTGCTTTAGTCAAGTTCTACCACTGGGTGTAGTTGAAGCTTCAGTTACTATTGGGTGTAGTGGCTGCTTTAACTGGGTACTATGAAAGTAGACCATTTATTTATTTTCAGTGAATGTTAAATGCAAGGAACTCCAGGTAGCTTTTTAGCTGTCTGGCTTCACTTCATTTCAGAATCCTTCTAGTTTCTTCAGCCTTGCAATATTCTTTATCACTTTTAAGCCCTTTGCAACAGAAAAAGGGGAGTAGGCCATTTGGTCCATCTAGCCTTCTCTGCCATTTTATTAATTCATGAAAGCTTTAAAACTTGCTAATCCATTGCATAGAATTATACACCACACCACAGAAGGAAGTCATTCGTGTCTGTGCCGGCTCTTTGAAAAGAGCTATCCAAATCAAATTCCCCTGTCTTCTCAACATCCTGCTATTAACTGAAGCAGAGATCAGACCTGTAGGTTTATTTGGGTCTCTTGGATGGGAACCATGCAGAGCCTTCGAAGATCTATAGTTAACTGTGCTGCTTCCAAAATGGGTTTTGTATAAACCTGTGTATAGTTGGTCTTTTGCCACTTAAGAATAACCTAGTGTGCTGTTTGTCATTTGTGGTTGCTGTGTGTGTAGTGTCCCATAGATTTTGGATTATGTGTGTTCTTGGGGATACTACTGTTTTGTAAATATTGAATTTAATGTGTGTTTTAACTTGCAAGGCATACTTTTAAGATGTTAGGTGTGTTTAGAGTGGGCAGATTAATTTGAGTAATTTGGAACGTGATTATCCTGTTTTGCTAATGTGATTTATTTCTGGCCTTGTGGATTTTTAACCATCATTTGTTAAAATCTATTTTGTTTTCTCTCTTTAACTGCCACCGTCAAATCCCAAACTTAGTCACACTCTTGTCTCTCGATTTTTATCTTTCAACCAAATATTTGCTGAGATTAGCCCTTGGTTTCTTTATGTAACAGAAATTCCTCCGAGCCAGAACCTGTGAGACAACTTTCTTTTGGAACTTACAAATGCGCAGAATTATGGGAAAATCTGAAATTCAGAAGCCAGCGTTTATCACGTTGCTTTACTTCACCCCTTTTCAGACTTTTATCAATTCTAAAATTAGAGGTTTGATTTCTCATTGTATCAAGCTGCACATTCTCTGATCAGAAATGTACTTGCCTAATAAGTGCTAAAGTGTTGCCCACTAAATCTCGCATTATTTGTTGTAGGTTGGAAGAAAACAAAATACACACTAGATCATCATCCCAGGCGGTTAGGTAGGTGTCTGCCCTTTTGTCATGGAGCATTATTGTTTATAATAGTGAACAGTACATGATTTATTGTGTTGCAAAGTATCCTTTTGAGTCAAGCTGACGCTATTAAACAGTGGATTGGCTTCAGATGTTAGGTCCCAGGGTTAAAGCCTGGGACCTAGGTTGTGTATTTGAGGACCTATGAGTCCTTGGACTTGTATCCCAGTAATGCACTCCGTGAAAATGCACAAGATGGTAGGAAGCCATTTGGCCGTTTTTTTGTGTGACAATCAACTCCTGGAAGGGCAATCTCACAATTGATTTACATTGTAAGTTGCATAAAGATTTTACTTGATACAGTAATTGCCTCCATGAACTAAAGCAATTCAAAAATACCACATGAGTTGTGTCCATTAAACATGATCTTTGTGTTGGGTAATCAATTTAATTTTTGATTCTTTTTAGACTGGAATAGCATAAAATCTGATTATTTGTTAATGTAAAGCTTCTCAGTCTGTGATCATTTTAAATGTGAGTTTTTCTGTTTTATGCTCCTTTTCAACTGCAAATCAATGTACTTAAACCCCAGTAGGATAATCCTGGAGTCCAGTGCACAGAGCGCCAAGACCTCTCTTAAGCCATCTGCTGTTCCTGGCGTGGGTCTGACAGGCAGTACCAAGAGGACAACAAGGTCCATGGCAGCCAACAGTAGTTTAAGGAGGTAAGTTGCAATCACAAATTATACCCCTCCATTGTTTAAAAGGCAGCCTGATCTATTCCAGCCTTTAACATTGACTGGCTGGGATAGCCGTCATTGTGAACTTTTTAGACAATCAAATACTTTCCTTTTTTACAAAAAAACCCTCAAATGGCTATTCTTCATCATTTTGACTCTAATGATTGAAGACTTGAAAAGCAGTCTCCTCCTCCCCCTCAGGTTTTCTTGGTTAATCTGGAAAGACTGGGCGAGTATGGGAAGAGTAAACCAGAACTTACTGAATTCTATGAAAGAAATGGTTGACCCCATGCAGTGTTAAACTTAATAAGCTGGCTCTAGTCTTGCACACTGAATGGAATAAGCTACACTGTTACAAAGGCCTGAAATTCCACTGAGTATTAGCCTGGAATTAAAATTGTCTTAAAATTTAAGGTTCTGCAGAATTGTGGAAGTTTCTTTGTAAGAAGATTGTAAGATAACATTTTTATTAAAAGAACTTCTGAATTTCAGATTTTCGCACAATTCTGCACATTTGTAAGTTCGAAAAGAAAATGTTCTCACAGGTTCTGGCTGGGAGGAATTTCTGGCCTCTGATCTGATAAATTGGGTTTTAAAAATGTCATTATTTGCAACGAGATTGTTAAATATTGAGTCCTGCTGGTAACCAAATATGCATCATACACTAACTCCACTCCAATGTACACGTAAGTAGTTTACAGAGCAGAGTTCTACTATCTCAATTCACAGAGGAGAGGCCAGGGTGATGTATATCCGGTTACCGGCAAGATTCAGCATTTACAAAATCTTTTGCAATTCATATTGGTGAATACCTCCTTTTAAACCCCACTGAGAACATTTTAGAAACCTGATGGGAACAAAGGCTACAATGCTGCAGTTGCTGCTGATCAGCATCAAATTCCTGCTAAATTTTATGCAGCTGAACAAGCTTATCCTATTTTCAATAAGAGGGTGTTCATTAATTGATGTCTACTGTAATGCAAGGCTTTGATATGTATCTGAAACTATATGAAACATTGCTTCCTACAGATTGCTTGAAACAACCTACTCTGATCAAAATCTATAGCAAATGCATGTTATGTAGATTTATATATTTAAGAATGTTAATTCATTTTATGGGACCTTGTTTGAAATCCTTACTCTGCTAGATCAGAACGAGAAGTCTGCATTTACAGGCAGGAGTAGAGATGTACTTATACTTAATTGCTTGGTTGCAAAAGCACAACAGCTAGCAGCTTAATTGGCAATTTCCCAAATTGTACAACCGAAGACCTTTGCAAAAACTGAGACTGTAAATCCAGTGTTGTGGATTGTGGAGTAATGTTCTCATAGCATCCTTATTAAAAACTTACATGGGGGTGGAAAATGACGATCGGAGCATTTTATCCTTTACATTTTAGTGCAACAAAGTGTGTGCTTTTTGCACTTTTGTTTTTTTTAAAAAAAAACTGCACTGGAGTATGTGAATTCTAAACTGAATAGTGTGTACACATTCAGTATGGAGTTGTCAGAATATTAGGGTTCTGGGAGGAAAGGTAACAAATCTCTAACCTCTTATGATATTTTTATATAACATACTTCTGGATTAGAATGCAAATATCTTGACAATCCAATAATAGAACTATACTAATTTGAGTATTTTCCTCTCCCCTGCCCCGAAAAAAAATCTTACCTTTCCTTCTCTTCAGAAGTCAGTCAAATATGCCTCGCCCGAGTGGCTGTTTGTCATGTGTGAGTCTAGATGGTGGTGATGTTTAATGTTGGGGTGTATCACAGCCAAAGTGAATCCATATATCACTTGATGTTCACCCCACACATTTTCCATCAGGAACAAACACCATGAGGGAGTGGTGGAGAAGAGAGTGGAGCTCGATTTGCCCTCTTAATGTAAAATGGGTGTCGATATTTAGTATAGCCAGGAAGGTGTGAGCAAAGCCGTTAGATATAACGGGTCTGCAGGAACCAGTTTGAATGAAAATGAGTAAGAATTGGGAAAAGTTGATGGTAGATGGCAGCTATGTGACCGATCATTGGACTTATCTGTTATAACATTATGCCTTTGCAACGGATATTTGGTACAGTAAAGATGTCAGCAGTTCCGAGTATGTTACTATGCACTGTGATTTTTTTNCTGGACTGCCATTAGATGAGACCTTATACCATTAGTTATCTTCATTTCAGTGTGTGTGCGTGCCTTTAACATTCCTTTATATACTGGGCAGTCCTGAGGCACGCAAGTATACAGCATTTACTTGGTGCCTGCAGTCAGAAATGTGAAAAGCATTCAAGTGTATCCATTTCGGAAAAGCAAAGGGCAGTCAAGGCCAACAGAGGTTATTCTATGAGGCTTGACAGATATTGACGAAGAATACCAAAGTCTACTTACATAAAACTATCATTTGAGGAAAGGAATAGATTTACTTGGAATTCAATTGTCCACTCTCTGAGCGAATCATGGCATTTTCTTCAAATTAGTATCTATTAATCTGGATGGCTTCTTTCTCCCAGCCCCTACACTTCCCGCATCTTTTCCCAAATTTTCCACTACTATCTTATCTATAAGCTGTACCCGTCATCAGTAGCAGGGAAAACTATTGCTTGATTTCACTTGCGGGTGTGTGTGTATGTGTATATATATATATATATATGATGTGTATATATAATAAAAGATACTCTAAGCTTTTACAACTACTTTTCAAAAAGAAGCAAAGAAAGGGTAAAATACAAATGAAACATGAAAAAGGCTGATTATATTTGTTAATTCTCATTTGGTTTTGATGGGTTGAAGGATGAGAGTAGCTGCTGAGAGTGGCATTAGCCAAGATTGGATAAGCATCCGATAAAAGTCCATGTCTACAGCAGAGGTGGCAGAAAGTTGATACGATCGTAATGAACCTTTAAGGCATAAATGGGCCATATTCCAGTAGGTTGTGTGTTTTTTCTGCAATTTGGACTGCAGTCTATTCCCTTGAACACATCAGCTAAATAGAAGTGTAAACTGGGCATTTCTTTTCACTGAGATTTTTGTGAAACTAATGGTTGAATAGGAGATAAAATATATATAATTCTTGCATTTGATGCATAGATGCGTCCTTCCAGGGAGAGAGCGGCATTCCATTCCCACAATCTATCTCTAGACTTCCCATGTGCATGCAAATCTCAGCTTGGTTTGGATACTCTTAAGCACGATGATGGGTTTCTGCATATGTCAAACTCCTTGGTGACCCCAAAAAGGGAATAGGTGACAATGGGGACTAAACTGCGGGATTCCTTAATAAGGACTTTTGAATCGTGCAAACGGGAAGCCCTTAAATAATGGATGGTCCGTCACAATAGAGAGGTTCCTCATCAAGGAAGCTACTTAGAAATCCTGCATTTTACACCCAAATAAATAATGCACTTTTATCATTTTACTGATCTGTCCTTTTAAATACCTGCAGTTATGATGCTAACACGTGTGAAGTTTTTCACAAAAAGTTAATGGAATTGAGGGAAGCTAATGTGGCAGTAATGTATAAAACACAGAAAGGTGTATTTATTTTGTTGAGGTGAAAGCTGACCTGTCTTACGATTGTTTTTCCCTTTGACATACAGCCACCCCCTAAACCCTAGGCTAGCCAGTTCACTGGGCAACTTGCATGCATTGACTAGTGACAAGGACGCAGCCCAGACGAGTGATGCAAACTCAGGTGCTAGAGCCCAGAGTTATTCTGTCACCCAGCTGAATAACTCAAACGTTATAAACAACAACAGCCACTCCTCCTCACGAAGAAGGGCTGCAGATAACGGCACCAGCGTCAGTCCGTATGCAGTACGGAATTTAAGCCACTCTCATCCAGTAAGTGCCAACCTCTCATCTCGATCCGTATCCCACTTTGAATCAATTCAGAACCACATTTGAGTTTGGAAATTGCTTTAAATGGTAAATGGTGTGCCTCTAATGGTAACTTTGGGAGGGGGGAGGGGGACACAATTAATCTACTACTTGACTGGATTTAAATGAAGGATTTACACAATTCATTATGGTATAATGCACAACCACAATGTCCTCGCTGATCAATGCTAAATAAATGCTTTTAATTTCTGAAGAGTGGATATCGCCTGCTAAGTCGGTGTGAGTGTCCTGCCTGCATCTAATACCAATATCTCATGTTTTGCAAATGCTGCACCTCCTTGCTGAAAATAGAGCCATAGACATTTACAACACCGAGGAAAACCATTTGGTTCTTTTAAGAGCAATATTTTCAGCCCTTTCCTGGGAGGCATGTAGGAATGCCTCCGAATTTCTAAGAAACAACTTCTGTGCAAATATGTGTGTCGAATTAATGTTTCTCTTTCTTCTAATCTGAGGCACACCTGCTGTTGCTTCACACCAAAGGAATACAGCTGGTGTGATTTCACCAACTCAACCTGTACATTTTTACTTAGTCAGCTGCTGCTGCTGTTAGCACTACACAATAGCACCTCAATGTAATGGAGTCATTTACAGTTATGAGGTCGGCCCTGAAAATGTTACCTCTGATCACGAGCTTAGTTTGGTTCAATCTCTGTTCTGTCTGGCCAAGCTTGTATAGGGCAAAGTCAATAATTCCATTAAAGCCTCTGCTGTCATTGCGATGCTCTTATTTATCCTAGCCTAAAATATCTTTCATGTTGTAGTAGCAGAAGCTTGTACATCAGCTGACCTACTTGGCAGAAAATCCTACATTTCATTCACGAGGATACAAACTACTGGAAGTGCCTATGCTGTCTCTTGTTTTATTTTCCAACGGTTTGCTTTCAGCTTCAACCTCTGATTAACCAGAAATGCTTTTGTTGTCTCTTTCCATTTCTCCGCTCTTTCACACAGTTTGATTCCTGAGAGAGGGAGAAAAACCCGGAGCACTTTATATGAAACGCGCTTAGGGCGAATATGGTACTTTTACTGTTCTGCTTTTTCATTTTCCCTGTGTTTTTTTTATATTTTAAAAATATAAATGTTAGCTAGCAGCACAAACACATTACTACCGATTCCAATCCTGAAGATGTTGTGGTATAGTGTTGTCCTACAGCAACTAAGTATTCAATTTAATTTCTATATTAAGATTTTAGAGTGCCATAGAATGTAGGTGATGCATTACTAAATGGAAACAGTGTATAAGGGGGTCATAGTAAGTAGTAGCAGCAAAGGAACAGGAGGAGGATATTGAACCCATCATGCCAGATCTTTTTATCGCATAGTTTGCCCCCAAAATACACACTGTCACACCTGCCTATATTCTCCTGAGAAGTATTTTCTAATCTCTCTCACTTTAGCCTCTTCTAATTTGAAGACTATGTCCCCTTGTTTTGGATCCCTTTGCCAATGTGAAGAGTCACTCGACAAACAGATTTTTTTTATAAACACTTTTTTTCCTCCTGAAAGCACTGATTTGCACTTGTACTGCACCCAAATGATCGTACTTAACGTTTCAGCAGAGCCAACTGAATGTCAGAAAGGAGAAAGGAAATCCGAATTAGTCAATCCTCAGCCCTCACTGCTCAACTTCACTATTAATGATGGTTTGGGATAGGACATCATCTGACTCATTCAACGGAATAGATATCACATAGATCGCAAATGTAGCCTCACTCCCTTTCTGTAGGCTTTTTCCAGACACTTTAGGAAATGCAGAAAAACCTCCTCTCTGAATTTCCTACTGTTGCTACTTTCTATTTTCAAATCAACTTCCTTTGGAGCATACAAGGCCAATTTCATAAATCACTCACTGGGCTAATTTGCAAATATTAAACCTAATACTTAAAAAGACACGAAAAACTTATCTGTAGCCGGTGGCACTTTGAGTATCAGTGTTGTTTGCCTGCATTGAATCCTGTGTAGTTTTACCCCCCCATGCATGTTATCAGTTTGAACAGTGGTTGTTGACATGAGGTTTATATTTTTTGCTGAAACCTGAAGCAAATTAAATCGTAAAGCTGCATGACTAAGTTTATCTATTGGGGTCTGTGCTTGTCCACCTAATGAGCAGATTTAGCAAATTGCTGTGATTTTGAGCTAATTGCTTTTTTGGGACAGCATCCCATATTTTCATAATTGAATTTCTGGTCATTCCTGTCTTGCTAATGTGCTTCAGCCAGTGTACTGTTAACTGTGTAATACATTGGGAATCAGAGCCAGCAACCCTCATTTTGTTTTAAGTTTGAAGATGACAAATCTCTCCCTGGCCAACTGTCTCCTCACCCCAAGCAGAGTTCAGCTAATTGAGCACAAAGTGGGGGATTGAACTTGGGCCTTTCTTGGCTTGCATGACTTCATGCTACTTTATTTGGTATGTGTGTATGTATTTGTGGTTTTATGCATACACTCACGCAGCAGAACCATGTTGTAAAGTGCTTCAGTATAACATAGGTTCGCCAATAGGTTGTGGTGTGAACCCTGTCTTTATTTATCCATAAAAATCCACACTAGACGTTCACCCTTTTGGCTTCCCCCAAGCACTGGCTCATGTTTTGTCTTTCTGCCTGCTTTTGCAGTGAATGTGGAAGTGCTGATTGGCCATTGATTGTATGTAGCCTTGATATTTGAAGGAGAGACATTTTCTGTTAAATTCTAGATTTTGTGCAACTTGCACACCTAAAAAAAAATTGGCGCTTTTTTTAAGATGTTAATTTTTTGTTGGTGGTTCTGCTTCTTGTGTAATGGCCTATGTACTTTTGCATGACAGTTTTTTTTAATTCTGTTGCACCTTTTACTAAAATATGTAATTTTGGCAGATTTGCTTAATTTTTGTTTCTGATTTTATTCAAGTCACTCCACACTCCACACTAGAGTACCATTACTCCGCTAAAATGGCATCTGAATCGACAGCTTGGAGGATTTGGAAAGAAAACCGGAGGACTGGATTTCCTCTCCCCTCTTTTTTCCCCATAAACAATATACTGTATGCTGAATTGGGACTTCACCATTCCTTCACCACAGGACTCTGCACCTGAATTCCTGCTTTTGATTGATGCTATTTCCGTGTGAAGTGCTGTTATTCAGAAGGTTGTATTATTGACTGCATTATTCTTAATTCAAAGAATCATTGAGTAGGGCATAGTGGTGATGATTGATCGTCTACAGGCACCCATAACCTGCTGAATTGAAGACAGTTTTTAAAAATAAAAGGCCTGAAGGAACATTTTGAAGCTTTTAAACAAAAAAGTGAAAACTTGCATTGTCAATCTCCCTTTGTTTTCGATTGTATCTGAGCTCAGTGGTAGCAGTCAGTCCTTTAACACCATCTTATGGCCAAAATATGATAGTACAGTACATATAAAGTTACCTTAGATGGCATGAAATGAATCTTAGCAAATTGGTTTGGCGGCATTCAATGTAACATATGTTAACTCATAATTCTTCAATTAATTGCCTTTCTCCTACCTCCTCCCTTCTGGTTCACAGAAACCTTCCCAGGGATAATTGTACTAACCAATCACGCCTTGCTGTATTTCTGCATTGGAATGTATATTTGAGAACCCATTGAGTTATTTTTATCAGCTGGAGCACTATTTTAGGTGGTTAATGCTGTAGTTGTGTAGAAAGAGCACTGTGTGATCTTGTCTTGCAAGGGATATTTTTTGCAATCAGTGCAAAATCAGTGAAAAGGAACAATCCCTGCCTTGCTTCTGTTAAACGCCCATTTGTGACTGATTCAGCTCTCAAAACTAAATGTCCCTTCACACCCTGAATTACAAGAGAAAACTGCCACCAGTAAGTAAAAACAATCCTGAACTCCTGCTCAGCCCATCTATATTGCTTTCAAAAATATGTATGTTTTTATATATATGTTTTTTGTAAAAGCTTAATTTTTTTTTAAATCATGCAGTCACAACACACAATATTTCAGGATATATTTCTAGCTTATTTCTTGAGTTTAACATTTTCCGTTACAAAATAACTGGTGCAGAATCCTTTTTTGTTTAATGCATTGAAGAAATTGCATTAAGAAATTGAAGTGGCTGAATTAAGAGCTGGAACGATCATCAGTGATCCTTTATCTGAAATGTATATGGTTGTTTGTAAAGTACAAATTTTAAAGCAACACGTCCTTATAAATCAGTCACCAAGAAGATTTGTGTTCTACTACCAAGTTGTGTAGTAAGACATTAAGACATTGCCAACATTAGTACTGGTTTCTGTAGAATAGATATGGTCTAACTATAACAAAAAAAATTAACCCAAATTGGGGTGCAAGGATAATATTTTTGTATGCATGATCAAATTGTATTTTACGAGTCTGTTGATTTTGCAGTGAATGTCTTCTGGAATAGACTTGGTGTAGCTGCAACAATAACCTTTGTGGCTTGGAAATGTAGTCTGTTTGGCATAGCCAAAAACCCTTTTTTTGTAACTTGTTACAGAAAATAAGCTTATCTTTTTATGTCTTTTATATCTATTTATTGCTCTCAAATTGAAAATATTAGCCATAGAGTGATAACATGAAGAATTGTACGAAACGGTCCAAGATGCTTGGAAAATGTTTGTTTCCACAACCCTCAGTTTGATTTTGAACACTTCATTCAGCCTCTTCTTAAACCAGACTCTCATACTTCTGCTTACTGCAGTGTGTGTATGTCTGCGACTTTTTTTCACTGGCAAATTTGATTTTCCAGTATAAACTTTTCCCTCTTAATTTTACTTTTATTTGGGTGAAGGGCATTTTTAAACTTCAGAAACTCATATTTCTCTATGGTATATAATTTGTATAAATTTGAACTGTTATTACATAATCATCCCTGAAACGGGGAAGTTTTTTTTTAAAAAACTGGTTGCAATGTTTGTGTGGAACTGATATATACTTATTTTGTATAGATATGTATGTAGAACATAACCATACTGATTTTTTTATGACCAGAAATAAAAGTATGATAACCATTTCCATTTATTGATTACAAGTGCATTTCTTAAAAGATTTATTCCTACTGTATTCAAAATAATTTGACACCAGTTTCGTGTTGACAATGTGTGTATTTTGTTGGCTTTCAGGCTAACAATCCTTGCATTTTGATATAGCACTTTTCACGTCTAGAGAACATTTCAAAAGTTATGAAGTATAGTGTATTTTGCAGGCAAACATTGCAGCCAAAATATGCACAGCAATATCCCACAAACAGCTATGATGTTAATGCTCAATTTTATCTGGGTGGGGGTTGTTGACAGGGAGAAACTCTCTTTTGAGTAGTAATGCTCTGGGATCTTGAACGTCCATTTGAACAGGCAGCCAGGCATTGGTTTAACATCTCATCTAATAGGTTTATAATTAGCCCTGTTTACTGGTCTTGCAAATGATATGGCTATTTTAAAAATATTTATTTGGTTCCAGATAAAGCCAATATGGATTCTGCCTCGATCATCACTCACAGCAGGCATTTCCATATCCTAATTATTGTGTGAATAAATTCCCCCTAATTCCCTGATGGCCTCTAGTTACTGACTCACCAATCAATGACAATTTCTCCTTATTAACTATCAAAACACCTCATAGTTTGAAAGACCTCCAAATCAGCTAATCCTGCAACCTTTGTTCCATCAGCACAAGTTTCTCCAATCTGCTCATAAGTCAAACCACTCATCCCCAGTATTATCCTAGTAAATCTCTGCACTCTATTGCCTAAACTGGGGTAACTAAACAGGTGAATGGACACAGTCTTGGTCTAACAATTTTAGCAATACTTCTGGTTTTATTTTCTATACCCCATTTGTAAAACCGAGCATGTCATTTTGAGAAGTTGCAATTAACACAAAAAATCTGGTTTACAAATTGCCCCTTAACTGGCATTGGAATATCAAAGAGTGCACGTTTGATAGGGGCAAAAGTGCTTTGAAATAGGGAAAATCCCCAAATGGAAGTTTTAGACTGGGTGAAGAGTATGAGAGACAATTTCAGTCATGAGGTCCCTGTGCATACAAGGATTCAGATAAAATATTCTTTGAAATTGATATAAAAAGGCCTAACAAGAAATTCAGTCCTACGTTTTTTTAAGTCTGATAAACTGAAATGATCTATAACTTATAATAAAAAATAATCTTACATTTGATGTAGCACCTTATGTTTGAGACATCTCAAAGCACTTCACAAGATATACTGTAAATATTGCATATTTTGTGGATGAAAACTTTGGTTGTTTAATGATACTTTAAAAAAAGAATGAAAAATTAACTGCTTCAACAAATCTGCATTTATTCCATCAAGTTTTTCAAAACAAACAATTACCAAAAGGGCAAATTATCTAGTTTTTTTTCCCCCCCTTTACACAAGTTAGTCCAAACTTTCCAAACACACACTCTGAAAAGTAGTCACAAAGAAAGTTTTTTTTTGTGTTTTTTTTATTTGTGGCTCAGCATAACTAACTCCTCAACAAATTGAAGGACATGTGCATATTATGTTCAAAATGGTCTACAGTGAACTTGCAGTTGTTTCCACTGGTCAGGCACCAACTTAGGCACACTTGTAATACACCTGCAATATTTCAAATTTACACCGTTAAACCAATAGTAGAACCATCTTGTTAAATAACCACAATATAATCTGTCTTCTCATCAATGTGCTTTTTTCAGGAAACATTCAATACTTTTTATACATATATATAATATACATTACATATATATAATATATATATATATTGTTTTGCTAAACATCAAATATACCTCTCTTGAGCAGTTAGACATGTTTGCCAATATTACACAATTAAGCACAAAGGGAGGTGCTGAACACTCAGTAGTAAGGTCAGATTCCATCCATCTTTCACCCACACTCGAACGCTTTTAAGTTATGGGGTGAGATCCATTCACACAGGTGGTGAACAGAAAAGTCCAATTTCAGTAGTCAGAAAAACATCACTCCTCACACAATCAGTCAGTGTTATGACTGAAGCAAAAATCTTCTACGTCTCAATGTGCCCAAAACAAATCTCCATGATGGCTGTCACCAAGTCAGTTCCAGTCCGTTAATGCTTCAAGCAAGAGCAGGGAAGTCCTCAGGATCATCAGGGTTTGGAGCGCTAATCTGCGGCTGTGGAAGGGAAGAGGTAAAATATGAAGTATTGTTTTTCAACCTTACACCATCAGATTAAAAGAATGTACAGCACAGAAACCAGTTTCTGCCAGTATTTATACTTGCCTTACATTTGCAATTGATACAGCACCTTATGTCGAAACTCCTCAAACCACTTCACAATATTTTGTAAAGTGGATTGACGGTATTTTGTGGGTGAAGCACAATAGTCAATTGCGCACAGCAATGTTCTACAAACAGTCATTGATTGAGTGATTTTTTTGGGACGGGGATTATTATCCCTGGAAAGCGATCCACCAATCGACTTACAACTGGGTTCCCATTTTCTGCTAGGTAAACAGGCACGTGGAATAATGAAACTTGCCTAAGGTTTCTCCCCGCAAACCCGGGGTCCTCTTGGTTGTGAGGCAAGCACGTTAACCACTATGCTATGGGACTCCACAATACTCCACACCAGTCTCCGTACATACCTTACTCCCTCCCTCCAAGTTACTTCACCCATCCGTAACCCTTCTATTCTCTCTCTTAAGCGAAGGTCCAGCTTCCTCTTCAAACCATCTACACTATTGGTGGCCAATCTTTATGGTTAGCCAACAAAACAAATTATCTTGATTGAATATTTCTTCATTCATGCCATAAATCATAAATTTATGGCACGTAAATCTACACTATCTGATTCAACCACGTATTTAGGCAGCAAGTTCCACAACCCTCTTGTGTGAAGTCATTCCTCCTGAATTCTTTTAGATCCTCTGGTCACTACATTACTTTTGTCCCCTAGTTACTGACTCCCCAACCAATGGAAACAGCCTATTTATGATAACCTTACTGAACCCTTTTATAATTTTAAATACCTCTCTTAGGTGCCCTCTTAAATGTCTTCTCTAGCATAAATAGGTCCAACCTATCCAGACTATCCTGATAGAAGCCCTGGAATCATCCCAGTAAATCTACACTACTCTTTCCATTGCTGCTACATCCATCATATAGTGTGGAGACCAGAATCGGACCCAGTGATCTAAATGTGGTCTAACCAAGGTTTTGTAAACATTCAACATCACCTCCTTACTTATATATTCTATCCCTCTAGATAGAAGGCCTAAGACTCAACTGACTATTTTTTAAAAAATTACAGTTCCACAGGCTCCAGCAGCCTTCCAGCAGCAAGGTTAGCTTCTTCCCACAAGAGCTCAAGATGAAGTGTACACACACTATGAGAGACGACCCAGGTGGTCTCAATCTCATCTACCCACAAGCATTTCCACGAAACATTCTGACCGATTTCCCTCTTTCCGTATCCCAGAGACAGCAACATATATTGTTGGCACAATTGAGATCGGCAGTCTGTACAGTGCAGAGATCAAATCTGGATAATAACAATCCTTGCATTTGATATAGCGCTTTTCATAACTTCTAACCGTCTCAAAGCCTTCACAGAATATACTGTAAAGTGAATTGACTGTATATTTGTGGGCGAAACGCGGCAGCCAATTGCGCACAGCAGTGTCCCACAAACAGTTGTAGATTGAGTGACCAAAATTATTTTGGGGGGGAATATTCCTAGTCCTCAGTACGACAGCAGGTAAGTACATTTGCCAATTGAAATGTCAGAAGAGAATTTATAGCTGTCATGATAGTTTCTTTGTAACAATAAAATTAATCCGCTTCAAATTAGAGATGTTCTCTCCTTCCCCACCCCCTCCCTTCATCTCTGTATTCACCATCTCTGGCGGTGGGGCCTCTGGTCTGGTTTCACTAATTCTTTTGGCTCTTCCACGACCTCTAGAACCACCCCTTCCTCGGCCAGGGCGTGTAAGACTTCCAAAGTTAATGTCCAGTTTAGAGGTGATATCATTTGCAGATCTTCTGAAGTAGTGGTGGTCGTCATCATCAGATTCTTCCTTCACTTCCTAGTACAGAAAGCAACAAGCACATTAGTCTCGTTCGATTTCCCCCTCCCTTGCCAAGAAACACCGAGGTTTGCAACATCTTCAAATCTCTGATGTCCCTGCTCAGTTGGCATCTGCCACTGCATTAGCCAAGTCCTGAGATGTTTTTAAATGAAAGGCTCATTACAAATACATGCTGCTGCTGAGCAGAGGTGACACTGGAGTCCAATTTAGCCAATATGCAGAATTTGTGAGTTGGGTTAGCCATGTGCAATTACATACTGGTTCCCTTAATTATATCATTAACAAAGAGAAAGAAATAAGCTCTAATCAACTTCATTGGTTAATAACTTAATTCAGAACCCTCTATTTAATCCTGTAAGAGACTACGAATGATCTAGCGATAGAAATGGAATGAGTTTCACATGTTTGGAAAGACAATGGTGGCCTTTTGAACTGTATCTTCCCTTCCTTCTTTTAGGGCTTAATTCGATCACACAGTAATACTCCAACCTGCAAAATCAGACCTCAGTGTGATCCAGGGTAGTTGTAAGCAGAAATAGATATACTTCGCAGAGACTGATTGTGATATCACGTTATACCTCAACCTGTGGTACACAGCTAGGCTCCTCTGTATTCAGAAAGAATTCACTTACATCCCCTTCATATTTCGATTTGTGGATGACAACAGCCTTGGACAAAATACTGGAATCTGGTTTACGGATGTTAAATTCCTTCTTGGGGCGAGTCTGTTCTTGAAGTGCTTTCCATTCATCCAAAGACATTTCATAGGGGCCATCTACAGCCGTTTCAGGTTCTCCTTCGTTCCCTCTGCAATACAAACGTTACACCCAACCAATGACCACCATTGACCACACACAAAATAAAGGTTCTTGAAATGTAAATGACCAAAGTAGAAACCTAACCCCTCAGCTTCTGTCAACACCATACGATACCACTTTGAGGTACGTATTTAAGACACAACCATAGAAGATGTATATTTATTTTTTGAGGTGGGGGGGAAAAGGAGAAGATTGTCCATTCGGCGCTCAAGTTAACCAAAGAATTATAAATAATAATAGTCCTTGCATTTGATATAGCGTTTTATCACATCTTTGAGACATCTCAAGGCATTTCACAGAATATACTGTAAAGTGAATTGACTGTATATTTTGTGGGCGAAACGCAGCAGCAATGTCTCACAAACAGTTGTGGATTGAGTGACCAATTTTTTTTATTAAAAAANGGAATTATTACCCCGGAAATGGGATCCGCCAATCGACTAACAACCGTTTTCCTACTTACTGCTAGGTAACCAGAGGCATGTGGAGTAAGGAAACTTGCCCAACATTTCGCCCTGCCGGGAATCAAACCAGATTCTCTCACTTGCGAGGCAAGTGCTCTTACCACTGAGCTAAAGGACTCCACTATACAACAACAACACAACAACAAGATTCCATTTATAGAGCGCCTTTCACGTCGGGTGGACATCCCAAGGCGCTGGACAGTTGGGTCAGGACCCGAGCAAGGGGGAAATGGCCAGGGTGAGGAGGGGGTAGAGAGTCGAATATTACCATATAGGGTTAAAGTTAAACAGTTTGTGGAGAGTGAAGAGGTTGAATACATCTTCAATTTGTTCACACATTTAGCTTTGCTAAAGCTCAAGTGCCTCAAAACATTTGAAATGTGAGCGACCCAGTTGGCGTTTTTCCTCCTGACAAAATCACCGTGTGGAAGGTAATTTAAAGTTAAAAGGTACAAATTTAATCAGCTCTATTCATCCATAGCAATTCACTCCCCCCTCGCATAGTACAGTACTAAAAAATACAATGCAAACACTAATCTTGATCTGATCACTTCAAACACAGTAATATAATAATCCTTGTATTTGACATAGTGTATGTAATGCAACATCTGAGCTCTTCACAGGTAATTGCTGTTAAACTTTATCTGTAAGTAAACATGACAGCTATTTTGCAAACAGAAATGTCCCATAAAGAGCCATGATGACTAATATACCTAGAGGGAATTTAGACACCACAAGTTTTAGGTACAATTTGCTTAAGTACTGCAAAGTGCTCAGATGTGCTAAAACACGTGAACAGTTTTACATAAATGCTAATTTTTGTTGTTGCAATCAATAACAGATTTTCTTGAATCCAAGGCTCCCGAAGGTCCACATAGATTTTAGGGGGCGGGGGGGTGGGGAAAAAAGTGAAGAAACTTTTTGAAAAATCACTTGGTGGGAAATACAAGCGTAAATGACACTTTGGAACAGAAAGCAGGGAGTCACATATCATGCTGATATCATGCTGTCCCTCGAGAACCTGGCTCCGAGGTTGACATTAGGACAGAGCGAAGTTCCGCGAATCAACACGAGGAGTTTTACATCCCGAGGTACCATTTACACTGCAGTTTTTCTGGTAAGTGCTTTTTTACATCGTAGTCACTAAAAAAAATGAAGTCTTGCTAATTTATATTTTAAAAAATACTAGCCACATGATTCTTCAGGTTTTTGGGCAAATCTTAACTTTGATTGATGTTTCAGTCAGTTTTCTTTTTGTGAAGAGTGGTTCTGTACCTATTTAGAAAGTGCATGATCTACTCTCTCAATTCAGCCAACGACTACAATGAAATCACCAAACAGATAGTCACCGTTTTAATTTTTCTTCGCAACATGTCCCTGGTAAGGTAAATAGATTTTTACGGTCCCTATAGATTTTGCTCGAGACCTTTTTGGGGGTGGTTAGCAGTAACGCAAACTAAACGTTCATGGTTAAGTCTTTGGTTAAACAGAACACAAGAGCTGAACTGAAATGGAGCGAAACAGTGAGCAAGAAGAACAAAGCTTTGACCTCTTCTTGATTTCTCTCTCCTCTCCCACAGGAACAAATTATTTCTCTCCTTCACAAAACTATATGGTAAAATCTCATCATAGCAGATCTAAAAAAGTGTTACAACTCACTTATTCTCAGGATCTCCTTCAGCCACTTCCTGGCTCTCATCCATTTCGGTGGCCTCTTCAGTCGAGTTAGGTTCAGCTTCTCTGGAAAGTGATTAAAATGGTTTTGCATCATTCTCTTTCTTTCCCCCACTTCCCCTAATTGTCTGTTTCTCTCTTCCTTCCCACCCCACACCCAACTGTTTACAATTTGGCTATATTACAGTACGAATCGTCCCTCAATTTTTAGTTACCCTCACCATGCCAAGTTCTTTAAATCGAGAGGTATGATAGTGCACTTTGCTAACATCTCAAAAGCTTTTGCCAGCATCCAAAATCAATGCCTTCCCCAATAACTATAATATCTGGTTCAACAGATAGTTTGAATGATGGACCTCCTACCTCTAGATTATAACTCTATAGACTTTACGTGCAGAAGGCCAGAAATTACAATTTGGTAGTTTAGTTTCTTATTGAAAACTCTTATCTTTAAAGATTACAGTAAAACTCACATAATTTGTATCAGTTTACACAAAGTTCGAGCTGCAGGTAAACTGTACAAGTTGTAGAAAGGAGTGCGGCAAGACGAGTTAGGAGGTGATTAACAATAATAATAAAATAATCCTTGCATTTGATATAGCACTTCACAGAATATACTGCAAAGTGAATTGACTGTATATTTGTGGGAAAAATTAATAATAATAATAATAATCCTTACATTTGATATAGCGCTTTTCACGTCGGGAGGACGTCCCAAAGCGCTTCACAGAACACACTGTAAAGTGAATTGACCTTTTTATTTATGAGCGAACGCAGCAGCCAATTGCGCACAGCAATGTCCCACAAACAGTCGTAGATTGAAAATGACCAATTTATTATTGTTTTTGGTTTTGGAGGGATTATTATAAGGCTCTGTGTGGAGTAAGGAAACTTGCCCAAGGTTTCGCCCTCTGCCTGGAATTGAACTCAGGTCTCTCGCTTGCAAAGCGAGTGCTCTGACCACTGAGCTACAGGACTCCAATACGAGCAGTGCAAAGAAATCTAAATGGTTTTGAAAGGAAACTGATGGGACTCGGGTGAATGTACAACTTAGGCGATTATACGATTTATAAAGGCAAGACTTATGTGAGTTTTACTGTATACACTTCCACTGCAGTTTCCTGGATAATGCCTCACAGGTCATACCTCAGGTCATCTCTGACAGAGCCCCAGTTTCGTGATCCACTTCCACCCCTTCTGTCGTCTGGTTTCATTCCCCTAAAAGAAAAAGTTTTTAGTACTAACCCTCAGCTTCTTCTGCTAAAAGAAAGGTTTCAGTTACAAGACCTTGCTAGGCAATAACGTTCTCCGAAGAAGAAATGAGACACTCTAAGAGTCACTACCCTGCGTGGAGGGTGCTATATAAGTGCAAGTTGTTGATGCTGAGTGAGAGAGAATAAAAGGGGTTTGACAGCAGCACCAGTCTGACTTTCAATGGTTTTACTTAACTGTCGCCATTGATACACTGTCTCTTAGCGAGAGACACTTGAGTGACAGAGATCAGTACCTGGGGGGAGAGACACTGTGAGTGACAGAGATCAGTACTCTGGGGGAGAGACACTGTGAGTGACAGAGTCAGTACCCTGGGGGAGAGACACTATGAGTGACAGAGATCAGTACCCTGGGGGAGAGACACTGTGAGTGACAGAGATCAGTACCTGGGGGAGAGACACGGTGAGTGACAGAGATCAGTACCCTGGGGTGAGCGACACTATGAGTGACAGACATCAGTACCCTGGGGGGAGAGACACTATGTGTGACACAGAGCTCAGTACCCTGAGGGGAGAGACACTATGAGTGACAGAGATCAGTACCCTGGGGTGAGAGACACTATGAGTGACAGAGATCAGTACCCTGGGGGAGAGACACTATGAGTGACAAAGATCAGTACTCTGGGGGGAGAGACACTATGAGTGACAGAGCTCGGTACCCTGGGGGAGAAACACTATGAGTGACAGAGATCAGTACTCCTGGGGGAGAGACACTATGAGTGACAGAGATCAGTACCCTGGGGGAGAGACACTATGTGTGACAGAGCTCAGTACCTGGGGGAGAGACACTATGAGTGACAGAGATCAGTACCCTGGGGGAGAGACACTGTGAGCGACACAAGAGCTCAGTACCCTGGGGGAGAGACACTGTGAGTGACAGAGATCAGTACCCTGGGGGAGAGACACTGTGAGTGACAGAGATCAGTACCCTGGGGGGAGAGACACTATGAGTGACAGAGATCAGTACCCTGGGGGAGAGACACTGTGAGTGACAGAGATCAGTACTCTGGGGGGAGAGACACTGTGAGTGACAGAGATCAGTACCTGGGGGAGAGACACTGTGAGTGACAAGGATCAGTACCCTGGGGGAGAGACACTATGAGTGACAGAGATCAGTACCCTGGGGGGAGAGACACTATGAGTGACAGAGATCAGTACCTGGGGGGAGAGACACTATGTGAGTGACAGAGATCAGTACCCTGGGGGAGAGACACTGTGAGTGACAGAGATCAGTACCCTGGGGGAGAGACACTATGTGTGACAGAGATCAGTACCCTGGGGGAGAGACACTATGTGTGACACAGAGCTCAGTACCCAGGGGGAGAGACACTATGTGTGACACAGAGCTCAGTACCCAGGGGGAGAGACACTGTGTGTGACACAGAGCTCAGTACCCTGGGGGAGAGACACTGTGAGTGACAGAGATCAGTACCCTGGGGGAGAGAACTATGAGTGACAGAGCTCAGTACCCTGGGGGGAGAGACACTATGAGTGACACAGAGCTCAGTACCCTGGGCGAGAGACACGATGTGTGACAGAGCTCAGTACCCTGGAGGGAGAGACACTGTGAGTGACAGAGATCAGTACCTGGGGGAGAGACACTATGAGTGACAGAGCTCAGTACCCTGGGGGAGACACTGTGTGTGACAGAGCTCAGTACCCTGGGGGGAGAGACACAGTGTGTGACACAGAGCTCAGTACCCTGGGGGGAGAGACACTATGTGTGACAGAGCTCAGTACTCTGGGGGGAGAGACACTGTGTGTGACACAGAGCTCAGTACCCTGGGGTGAGAGACACTGTGAGTGACACAGAGATCAGTACCCTGGGGGAGAGACACTATGATGACACAGAGCTCAGTACCCTGAGGGGAGAGACACTATGTATGACACAGAGCTCAGTACCCTGGGGGAGAGACACTATGAGTGACAGAGATCAGTACCCTGGGGGGAGAGACACTATGTGTGACAGACATCAGTACCCTGGGGGGAGAGACACTGTGAGTGACACAGATCAGTACCCTGGGGGGGAGACACTATGAGTGACAGAGATCAGTACCCTGGGGGAGAGACACTATGTGACAGACATCGTACCCTGGGGGAGAGACACTGTGAGTGACACAGATCAGTACCCTGGGGGAGACACTATGAGTGACAGAGATCAGTACCCTGGGGGAGAGACACTATGTGATAGAGATCAGTACCCTGGGGGGGAGACACTATGAGTGACAGAGATCAGTACCCTGGGGGGAGAGACACTGTGAGTGACAGACATCAGTACCCTGGGGGGAGACACTGTGAGTGACAGACATCAGTACCCTGGGGGGAGAGACACTGTGAGTGACAGAGATCAGTACCCTGAGGGGAGAGACACGGTGAGTGACAGAGATCAGTACCCTGGGGTGAGAGACACTATGAGTGACAGACATCAGTACCCTGGGGGGAGAGACACTGTGAGTGACAGACATCAGTACCCTGGGGGAGAGACACTGTGAGTGACAGAGATCAGTACCCTGGGGGAGAGACACTGTGAGTGACAGACATCAGTACCCTGGGGGGAGAGACACTGTGAGTGACAGAGCTCAGTACCCTGGGGGGAGAGACACTATGAGTGACAGAGATCAGTACCCTGGGGGAGAGACACTATGAGTGACAGAGATCAGTACCTGGGGGAGAGACACTATGAGTGACAGAGATCAGTACCTCTGGGGGAGAGACACTGTGAGTGACAGAGATCAGTACCCTGGGGGGAGAGACACTATGAGTGACAGAGATCAGTACCTGGGGGAGAGACACTATGTGTGACAGAGCTCAGTACTGGGGGGAGAGACACTATGAGTGACAAGATCAGTACCCTGGGGAGAAGACACTATGAAGTGACACAGATCAGTACCCTGGGGGAGAGACACTGTGAGTGACAGAGCTCATACGTGGGGGGAGAGA